TTTTTTTGTAACCTTTGCCAGATCTGTGCCTTGCCACAATTCTGTCTCTGAGCTCTTCAGGCAGTTCCTTTAACCTCATGATTCTCATTTGCTCTGACATGCACTGTGAGCTGTAGGGTCTTATATGGACAGGTGTGTGGCTTTCCTAATCACGTTCAATCAGTATAATCAAACACAGCTGGCCTCAAATGAAGGTGTAGAACCATCTCAGGGATGATCAGAAGAAATGGACAGCACCTAAGTTAAATATATGAGTGTCACAGCAAAGGGTCTGAATACTTATGACTATGTGATATTTCAGTTTTTCTTTTTTAATAAATCTGCAAAAATGTCAAACATTCTGTGTTTTTCTGTCAATATGGGGTGCTGTGTGTACATTAATGAGGAAAAAATGAACTAAATGATTTTAGCATATGGCTGCAATATAACAAAGAGTGGAAAATTTAAGGAGATCTGAATACTTTCCGTACCCACTCTGTCTAGCAACGCCCATGGTTCATGTAGATGTCCCAAAGGGTGCCAGCTATTTCAGGCTGGCAGGTGTGCTCTTACCTCTTGCCACAGGGCTTCCTGGCCAGTGAAAGCCAGTGGCAGATTGATCCCATTGAGCGCCATCCAGTCGATCTCCCTTTCCCATCTGGGCCACGCCCACCACACATAGGAATAGCTAACAGTGCAAACGTTCTGGTAATACCGAAATCTAGATGCAAACACAAATAAATTGTTTATTGTCAAAGTGATGTCTTAAAAATAACAGTTTTCAAACAAAGAATGAAGCCAGTGTAATTTGGATGAGCTTCAGTGACTTTTAGATACAAGGACCAATGTTCATTGGGTGTCCACAGGTTTTAACACATGGCTGAGAGGCATTAATGTGTAATCACCATGAAGAAAGGGAATGTGCTGTGCAAAGTTACATTCAGTGCATATGCCATCACACAGTAATTTAAAAGTTATTGTATAATCCAGTAGAAGACCAGTTTATTGTCATATATGGCTGTAGGCAGTAATAGAAAGCAGCAGCCATGTTTGATTTTTATTAAAATGTTATGTTCAGTTATTATGTAATATTTCTTCCTGGTTTAGATTTTTTTTTTCCATCCAGGCTTTTATTGTACTGACTGTAGAATAATGTGGGCCTGGTTGCAACAAGGGACAGCTGTGCCTTTTTGGTCCAGTCAGAAATGTGCTAGATCCAAGAGTTAGCCCTTCACCCATAACAGGAAAACAGCTGCTAAGCATGAGCTTTCCTTTTGGACTTGCCCCCCAGAAATGTTAAGTTCACGGATAGGGATATCCTCCTAGCCTTCATCTTCCGACAAGATCAGATCTGGTCAGGGCTGATGGCGCAACAGTTGAAGCTAGGCCAGTGACACGGGAAACACTCCTTCTTACACTGGGGATGTACC